AGAGCATCCCCAGGTTCTTCTTGCTCCTGAACCTGACTCTTGGTCCCCTGTCTCGTAAGCTGGCTGCTTCTTGTGTTAAACCACTCAGATCTTTCCTTTGTTTTCTTGAAAACTGGGTATCTTTGTCCTGCAGATGAGACTCACATTGCCCACCTTGTTTCAACAGAGGGCAGTAGAGAGCAGCAAACAGCCTACATTTCTAAACCCCGAAAAAAACAAGTCAGTCTACAACCTTATCTTAGTGTCAAGGTACCCAGAATATGGCATATTGTGCTTCATATGTTCATTAATAAAAGAGATCTTTGTGGAGGTATGGCAGCCCCTGGAAAGTCAACAACTCTTAGATGACACTCCCTCTTGCAAATAAGAGTTTAGCTATGTGCAACTTATGGAAGGCTTTATGGAGAAGGAGTTTTGTCTTGAAGAATGAGTATGAGTTGGGAAGATAGCTTTGTTGACAGAAAACAGCATGGGTGAAAACATGGCAAGACATGGCAAATTTGGGGAACAGCAAGAAGTTTGGTATTGGTGGAGCATAGGATTGAGATAGAGACAGCAGTGATAGATACACTCTCAGATGCTATGTGCCACCCTGAAGGGCTTAGATGTCATCTTGAAGGGATGAATATCCTGAAGGCAATGAGAAGTCACTGAAGAATTTTGAACAGGGCAGTAACCTGATCTGTTATGCAATTTTGTTTTTTTGTTTGTTTTGTTTTGAATTGAGATATATCTTGGTATTGTCAGACTTTTTAATTTTAGCCAATCAGGTGAGTGTATAGTGATATCTCATTGAGTTTTTAATTTGCATTCCCCTGATAAGTGTTGATGTTGAGTATTTTTTCACGTACTTATTTGGGCATTTGAATATCCTCTTTTGTGAAGTGTCTTTTTAAATCTTTTGCTCACTTTTTAATTGGGTTGTCTTCTTATTGATTAGTAGGAGTTCTTTATATATTTTAGGTATGACTCCTTTGTTAGAGATACCTATTACAAAAACAGGTATACCTGTTACAAAGCCTATTCTACGGTTACTCTTTTTTTTTTTTTTGTGAGAAAGACTAGCCCTGAGCTAACATCCGTGCCTATCTTCCTCTACTTTATATGGCACGCCACCACAGCATGGCTTGACAAGTGGTACGTTGGTCCACGCCCAGGATGCGAACCTGTGAACCCCGGGCCACCAAAGTGGAGCGTGAGAACTTAACTGCTCTGCCACCAAGCCAGCCCCCTCCAAACTGTTTTTTATCTCATTAACTGTGTTCTTAATATCCAGAATTTCTGTTGGTTTTTTTTTTTAGAGTTTCAATCTCTTTGGTGAAGTATTCCTTCTGCTCATTAATTTTATTCCTGAGCTCACTGAATTGTCTTTCTGAGTTCTCTTGTAACACATTGAGTTTCTTTATGACAACTGTTTTGAATTCTCTGTCATTTAGATTGTAAATTTCTGTGAATTCAGGATTGGTTTCTGGAGACTTGTCATTTTCCTTCTGCTCTGAAGTATTACTGTAGTTCATGGTTTGATGAATTGAGCCTTTGCTGGCACATTTGTGGTAGTATCAGGTCGCAGATTCCACCTGCCACCGCTGGGGGGAAGCAGGAGCTGTGTTTTCTGATCCTGCCCTGTCTGCTGGAAGTTGTGTGGGTAGGGCTAGTCTGCATTTGCAGAGGCTGGCCGTAGCTGCTCTGCAGGTTGTGCTCACGTGGGCAGGGCCTCTGTGCTGGGCAGGCGGGTCAGGCACCATAGGTGGGGCCTCTGTGCTCGGCAGGGGACCTGCTGAGCAGCAGTGTGCAAGGTGGGAGGGGCGCCTGCGTGGGGGCTGAGCCGCCTATTGGTTGGTCCTGTGGACTGCTGTGCTTGCGGGCAGGGGTGCCTTCTGAGTGGGAGGGGCACCTTCTTGCCTGTGCTGTGCTCAGCCGGTGGGCACCTTCACAGGGGCGCTGAGTGGCCATCACTTGGTGTGGAGTGTTCCCACCAGCAGGGCTGCTGTGGCTCAGTGGGTACTCCCACAGGCTGGACTGCAACTCCAAAAGCATTCACACGGGCTGGGCTGTCCCCACCTCCTCTTACAGTCGCCAGCCGCTGTGTGAGGATCCTGAGATCCGAGACCTGGCTCACTGCTGCTGGGGAGGGGAAGGAGTGCACTCACCTAGTTCCACTCCCTCCTGGGGATCTAGCCCACCCACCTTCAGATGTATAGCTGTGTGGATCTTTCAGCAGTCCTATTGTGCTGTGCAGGGAATCCTCTGCCGGTTAATGATTGCCCATTTAGTTGTAACTTAGGGGGAGAGACTAAGGGGACAACTCATTCTGCCATGATGCTGACATCATTCCCACTTTTAACTTATTTAATCCTCACATCAACCCTGTGAGGTAGTTGTACTAATATTGTCCCTATTTTACAGATGAAAAAAACAAGGCATGGAGAAATTAAGTGACTTACTCAAGGTTTTCTACCGCTAACAACTGGCAGGAGGCAAAGAAATTTGAGAGAACTTAATTATTGATTGGATAGGAATAATAAAGGAGAGTAAGGGACCCAAGATAACTTGAAGGATTTTGACTTAGGTAACGGAGTAGATCATAGAGAAAGAAATGCAAATTTGGGAGGAACAAGTGAATTTCATTTTGGAAAATAGTTTTTGAAGTGGAAATGCCTAATAAGTAGCTGAATATTTTCCACTTTTCTAGAATTCAGGAGAAAAGTGTTGAGTAAAGATAAAGATTTGGGAATCATTAGCATATAGGGAGCAGAGCAATTTCTTAACCTCAGCACTATTGACATTTGAGGCTAGGTAATTCTTTCTTGTGGGGGCCATTCTATCCATTGGAGGACATTTAGAAGAATTCTTGGCCTCTACCCAGTAGATGCCACGAGCATTTGGTTTGTAACAACCAAAAAATGTCTCTAGACATTGGCGACTGTCCCCAGGGGAACAAAATCACCCCAGCTGAGAACCAGTGGTATAGAAGGAGCCGTGGGTGTGGATAAAATCATTTAGAAGTGAGAAATGTACAGGATCATGTTTCTCAGTCCTTTAAAGTCCATTCTCAACCCTTTCAAACATAAAGATAAAGTTTTTTCCTCTTCCTTTAATTTTATCTTAAGTTTAAAAATTGGTTTGTCAAATTTACAACTATAAAATTGATTATAATGCTGAATAAGCTTTTCAAACTACACCTCTACTTCTCTTTCCCTCTCCTATTCTGATACACCCCTTGGAAGAGTCTCTTATTTATTTAGATAAGTACACCGAGGATAGGAAGTGAATAAACACCAATATTTTGTGGGTGAATGAAGATAGAGGAACATTCAGGGAGAGTAACAAGAACCATCAGAAGGGCAGCAGGAAGAGAACCCTAATAAGTCTTGATGAAAGGGATGAGGAACAACATCAAAGTATTTTGGCCCTGAAAACTGCAATGATATTTCACAATAGATTACATTCCGCCCCCCGGAGTTCATAAGTGACTTCTTAGAGAAGCGAGAGGATTCCGAGTGCTCCCTTGGCTTAGAGTGGAAGGAGCATTTCCTGTGACCCAGGGCAGCATCTAGGACAACTCAGAAGAGGAACCCTTGAGATTCAGAAAGAAAAGTGACTTCCTCTTCAAGGGAAGAGATAAGGAAGACTGCAGAGCAGCCACCTAGAGCCTGAGGAGAAGACCTAAAGTTTTAATCTTGAAGGGAAGACTGGAAAAAAAGGCTGGGCTCTACTGAGTTTCCCACCTATTGTGGAAGGAGAGTATTGCTTTGCAAGATGCTTTAGAAACTGGGCTCTGCCATTCTTCTTTTGCTCATCTCCATTTCTTTACAAAAAAAATTTTTTTTTAAACCTTCTAGCCAATTGTGAGTTAACCAAGAGAAAGATTTAGATGTCTTGACATTTCTACTAACATAGTCTCTGGAGCAGTCATGCCCTTGGTGGCTGGCTAGGGTGGTAGCACTAATATCCTAGCTCTCCAAGATTTTAAAAATAAAGGTCTATTGGTAGTTTAATGATTTTCTGTTTATCTTTGGTTTTCAGCAGTTTGAATATGATGTATTTAGGTGATGTGTGCATTTAGTCTGCCTATGGTTCTCTCAGCTTCTTGGATCTGTGGTTTGATGACATTCATTATTTTTGAAAAATTCTTGGCCATTATCTCTTCAAATGTTTCTTCTGCTCTATTCTTTCTTTCTTCTTTGGGATTTCAAATATACATATATTAGACCATTTTATATTGTTTCACAGTTTTTGGATGTTCTGTTCTATTTTCTTTTTTTTACTCTTTTTTTCTCTTTGAATTTCAGTTTGGGTAATTTCTACGAATGCATCTTCAAGGTACTGATTATTTCTCAGGTGTATGGAGTCTACTAATGAGCCTACTGAATATATTCTTCCTCTCTCTTACCACGTTTAAAAATTTTCTAACATTTCCATTCGCCTCTTCTTATAGTTTCTATCTCTCTGCTAAAATTTCCTATCTATTCATACATGTTGTCTATGTTTTCCACTAGATCTTTTAACATATTACTTATAGTTATTTTAACTTCCCTGTTTGATAGTACTAACATCTGGATCATTTCTAAGACAGTTTCTATTACTTGCATTGTCTTTTGATAGGGTTGTTTTTATCTTGCTTTTTTGTGTAGTTTCACAATTTTTAATTGAATTCTGAACATCATATGTAGGATAGTAGAGACTGAGGTAAATTATATTTATGCTTGGAAATGGACACCCCCTTCTTCCGTTAAGCTGTTGGTCTGCAGGTTTGAGGCAATTTAGTCAGGAGTTGAGCCAGGATTGGGTTGTGCTGTTGCCATAGTTACCTTCGATTCTTCTAGTGTTATCTTGTGCTTGGGGTGGGAGCTGATTTTCCTGGAGGGTTTTTTCTCAATGTTCCTGCTCCACCCTCAACTTTAGGCCTTTTCTTTGTGCCTGTACCTCAGAAGGTCTCTCTCCAGTGGTAGAGTGCTGTTGCTTCTCTTGAAAAGAGAGACGAAAGGCCCAAAATGGAGTCACTTGTGCTAAGCCCATGTCGTGAAACCATGACTTCATACCTAAGTTAGTTACAGTTTCAACCTCTCTCAGGAGTGGAACCTTAAACCTGTCGATCTGGAATTACCTGGTCAGCACTAGTGAGGTAATCTGCCTGATAGACCCCTGCTGTCCCTCAAAGGAACGTGACCTTGTCTGAAGCAATCTGCTTTTTGCTAGTACCTTCCTTGTCTTACCTGCTTCTACCTCTAAAGTCTTTCCTCTTGTACAGCTCTTTGGAGCTCCTTTCTATCTGCTAGATGGGATGCTGCCCGATTCATGAATCATTGAATAAAGCCAATAGATCTTTAAAATTTACTCAGATGAATTTTCTTTTTTAACACTTCTTATTCAGAACTTGCTAGCCTGGGACGTGTTATAGGGATTTCTCTGTTGTCCTGGTCTCAACATCAGTCGTAGGAAAGATAGGTGTTCCTGGAGCTTGACTTTTTCGGTGATTCTGCTCTTCTCCCAATTGTCTAAACCTGGAGTTGTTTCCAGGCCCTCCCCCAAGGGCTAGAGGGGTTTTTTCTGTTCTTTTCCTCCAGGTGAAATGGTCTTTTATGTGTGCCCTGGGCCCTTCTCCTAGTGACTTAAGGCTTTTGTTCATTAGAGAAAAGGGTTCAGGTGGGCTTCATGCCCTTCCCACAGTGGCAGTTGCTCTTGTTACCTAGGTATGCACCACCAGGGAGACATTCTCTGGTCTCTCTCCCACTGTTACAGAACCAGGCTCATTTTGCATGCCTCACAGTAGGCCAACCACCGAGATGATGAGTTTTGCAGCAGAGAAAGTGTTTATTCATGAGGCAGCCAGGCAAGGAGATGCAAGAACAAGTCTCAAATCCACCTCCCTGAAAATGAGGATTATGGATATTTATGGGATAGAGAGGCAGGGTTGTGTGAAGTGTGGGGATAGATGATTGGAGGTAAGGAGAAGTGAGGTAATTGATGTTCTGCATAAGCATAGTCAAGTTTCATGGCTCTTCATAGGATGCATGTTCACAAAATGGTGGCATTAGCATGATCTGAAGGGGGAGTTTTCAGCCCCCTGACATCAAAGGGTCACCTATTGGGCACCTGTGCAGGCCCAGTTTATGAGTCAGTGGTCTTTACCGGCCTGAATTGGGCAAGGAGTTGATTCAGTTCCTGAAAAGCTTAAGCACTCATTACCTTGGTGACCCAAGTGTCGGAGATGTTATCTATAGGGTGGGCATTAGTAATGCATTATCTAACTACTTTTGCAAACAGACAAGTGAGTATAGTGAAAGGAAATTGGCCCCTGGTTTCAACTGCCCCCAGTCTTTTCATGAGCAACCGAGTGGAGGTCCATGAAGAAAACCCTTCAAGTGGGTATGAACTCCGCTTGTATCAGCAGCTCCCAGTTCTTGGCCACACCTGGCTTTTAGCAGTTTGTTTAAAATGTTAGCTGAATTCTTTTAGCTCATTTGTATGGTAGCCCCATCTTCCTCCTATGCTCTGTTACAGGTGAGTCTGTGCTCATGTCCTAGCTCTCCTTGGAAACACCTATCTTTCCTTAGATTTCAAGGTAGTTGGTTGCCCTGCTACCTCAGCACTCTGATGGACTCAAGAAAGATTTTGTATATTATCTGTATATTTTATATATTATCTGGTTCTTTTTGTGGTTCTAATTAAGATATTTTAATGTGACTGATTTTCACAGCTGTTTTTACAACACTAAATCAAAATAGTCAAGTCCAAAATGAAAAATCACCAGGATGGCAAGTCATGATCAGTTTAGGCCAGGAATCGATACCGAACCTCTTAATCTCAAGTTCATGTGCATGATGCACAGGAAGCCAAACACTGAGACATCAGGGCTTAGAAATGGAGAAAGATTTATTCAAATTGGCCAGAACAAGTAGGTGGGAACCTGGGTTCACTCAAATCCACCTTCCCAAGAACAGAAAGCAGGGAGATTTTATAGAGCTAAGAGGCTTGGCAGGAGGACCTTCGGGAAACAAAGGGGTCACTCCCAGTAAGCCCCTGGGCAATCTGACTTCTGGGCTTCAATGGCTGCTGAGGGCCAGCCATCTGGTGATTGCAACCTCCCTGAAGGCATTCTCTTTCTTCTGCAAAACAAGCTCACAAATCCTCTAGAAAACAACCTAACAAATCCTTAAGACCCCTGAGTTGCCCATCAAGTTAAACAGGAAAACAGCAAATTGGTTTAATATCTATAGCACCCCTCAGGTACCCAGCGAGGATATCAATTTCAATCTTATGACTATCGTAACCATTTATGTTGCAAGCCTGCCTCTCTTAATGTGATATTGTGATTTCTAATAAGAAATATATATTTGTTCTTTGTTCCTTTTTTCTGGCACAGAGCTCCTAAAAGTCTTGCAATTTCCTGAGTGATGAGAGTGATAAAGGTGTTTTTGTTATGTTAATGAGGTGACTTTTTTACCTCACCTAAGGATGGGGGCTGGTTGCCAGGAGGACCAATCATGTGATTAGAGGGTTGGAACTTTCAGTTCCACTCCCCTGATTTCCAGGAAGGGAGAGGGGCTGAAGGTTGAATCAATTGCTAACGGCCAATGATTTAATCAATCATGCCTATATAATGAAGCCTCTGTAAAAACCCAAAAAGGACACGGTTCTGAGAGTTTCCAGGCTGGTCAACATGTTGAGATTTGGGGAGAATGGCATGCTCAGAGAGAGTTTGGAAGCTTCATGCCCCTTCCCCATACCTTGCCCCATGCATCTCTTCCATCTGACTGTTCCTGAGTTATATAACAAACTGATAATCTAGCAAGTAAAATATTTCTCTAAGTTCTGTGAGCTGCTCTAGCAAATTAATTGAACCCAAAGAGAGGGTCATGGAAACCTCTGATTTATAGCCAGTCAGTCAGAAGTACAGGTAACAATCTGGACTTGTTACTGGCATCTGAAGCGAAGGGCAGTCTTATAGGACTGAACCCTTAACCTGTGGAATCTGATGCTATCTCCAGATAGCATCAGATAATGTCAGGATTGAGTTGAGTTGTAGAACACCCAGCTGGCATCCTGAGAATTGATTGTTGGTGTGGGGAACCCTCTCCACACATTGAAAGTCAGTCCAGGAACTCAAAAGACTTAGCTGCTCTGTTCTTCAGTGTTGTCTCACATCTATGTTATTATTGCTTGATATTTAGATCTACTTTGCAGCTAACCTGCAGATGTGTCTGAAATCAAAACCCTTTTGATTAGATACTTTCACTCTACAATCGGTAATCATTTTTTCTAACACTTACACTTTTCTTCAAACTTTAATTCCAGTCACAAACTCAAAGCTCTTTCTGCCCTGCTAACACAGGTGAAGGACAGGATGTGTTCATGTTGTCTTTATATCTGTCTCCTGCATGTATTCTGTCTTGGTCTTTATAATGAGAGTTCCTCAGGGCAGAGACTCCTATCTTTTCTTATTTCTTCCTCTTCTTCTCTCACCTCCACCCCATCTCTTTTATCAGCAGAGTTAGATATGGTTAGAACACTGGGTGTTGACTTAATAATCACTTAGTCTCTAATTGGCCTCTTCCTCTTGGGCAAGTTCTCCCTTGCTCAGTGTTTAGTGCTATTGCCAGTGTCAGGGAGGGGGAAATTCTCCCTTCTACCCTTCTTGTGTTCTTATGGCTGGACTAATAATAAAATCAACCTTGCACTGGGTAAAATTGGAAATGAGTCAATGCTTACCTTCATTAGCCTTTTAGACATATAGGAACATGGTGGTTAGAACAGGAAGAGCTCTTAAAGAGCATCTGGTTATTGGCAAAAGAATAGGCAAATGAATGGAACAGACTAGAGAGCCCAGAAATAAACCCACATAAATATAGTCAACTGATCACTGATAAAGAATCAAAGGCAATACAGTGGATAAAAGATAATCTTTTCAACAAATGGTGCTGGAACAACTGGACATCCACATGCAAAAAAATGAATCTAGATACAGACCTTACACCCTTCACAGAAATTAACTCAAAAAGGATCATAGACTTAAATGTAAAATGCAAAACTATAAAACTCCTAGAAGGTAACAAAGGAGAAAAATCTAGATGACTTTGGATATGAGGATGACTTTTTAGATATAACACCAAACGTATGATCCATGAAAGAAAGAATCGACAAGCTGGACTTTATTAAAATTGAAAACTTCTGCTCTGCAAAAGACACTGTCAAGATAATGAGAAGACAAGCCACAAACTGGGAGAAAATATTTGCAAAAGTCATATCTGATAAAGAGCATCCTGTTCATCCCCCTCACTTTATGGAGGTCCAGAGAAGCAAAGTGCCTTGCCCAAGACTCCACAGTGGCATAGCTGGGTCTAAAATCAGGTCTTATCTCTCCCTTCCTGACCTAGGTCCTCAGTGATAAATAAGCCTCTGTTGTCTAAGCCCCTTACGTTGTCACAGAGTCTTGGCTTTCTGGGAAATAGCCCTTTTCCTGTTTTTTTTTTCCTGTGTTTTATACAGCTAAGGGGCTTGGCAGGAGGGGCTTCAGGGAGACAAAAGGGTCACTCCCGGTAAGCCTCTGGGCAATGTGACCTCTTAGCTTCAACAGCTGCTGAGGGCTGGATGGCCATCCAGTGATTGCAACTTCCTTGAAGGCATTCTCTTTCTCCTGCAAAACAAGCTCACAAATCCGCTAGATCCGAGTCACCCCTCAAGTTAAACAGGAAAAACAGCAAATTGGTTTAATATCTGCAGTACCCCTCAGATACCCAGCTTCGCTCCCATATTATTTCTATCTCCTCCTCTCATCAAACTTTTTCAGCACTCTGCTGTTCTAAAAAAGAGTGACTGGTGAACAAATTTACACTCTGAAGTTAATGATCCACATAGTTTAGGGTATTTGCATTTCTAAAAAGTTGTTACAGATGACAACGCTTTAACACAAAGACATGAATTCCCTAAGGAAGTTTCCTGGCTAGACTGACGATGCTGGTGCATGGACCTGGCTTAGACCTCTCCAACCAGAACCTCCATAACTCAATCATTCTTTCTCCTGTCTTCTCCTTCTGTGGTTGCCTTCCTTCCCAGGCTTCCTCCTCCTTTGGGGTCAGCAGCTGATTTTAGTGCTGTCACAGGTGGCTCAGCTCTTGGGGAAGTGGCCATAATGAGGAAATCCTAAAGAGGACTGATAAAACAATCACAGAGATCCACTGAAAGGGTGGTCAGGGTATCAACAGGAAGAGAAACAAAACCCAATCAAGCAGAGAAAAGAGAAAAGAGCACCTTCTGAATCAAGTGGCTGTAATCTGAAAGTGTCTACAGTTGGAATCATTTGAGGTTATAGCATTTATCTGCTCTTCCCAAAGTGGGTCCGTAAACACCAGTCCCCACTGGAAGCAGTGGACTAGACTCTCCTAGTCTTTTATTTTTATTTACTTATTTATTTTTTGCTTGAGGAAGATTAGCCCTGAGCCAACATCTGTGCCAATCTTCCTCTACTTTTTATATGAGGGTCACCACCACAGCATGGATGATGAGTGGTGCAGGTCCACGCTGGCACCTGAACCTGCGAACTGGGGCTGCTGAAGTGGAACATGCCAAACTTAACCACTACACCACAGGGCAGGCCCTTCCTAGTCTTTTAATGATAATAATGATAAAGACCAAATTTATATGCCAGGTTCTGTGTTAAGCATTATTCATCGGTTTTCTCACTTAATCTTCACAACATTATAAGGTAAGTACTAATGTAATTTCCACTTTACAGATGAGGCAATGAAGCTTAGAAAGGATGAATAATATATCCAAGATTACACAGCTGGTGAGGGATGAGGCTTTTGGTCTGAGTCTATCTCCAAAGTTCATGCTGTTAATCATTGGGCTTTTCTGATTTTTGAATTATTCATACCTTTCCCATTTCCAGTCATATACATTTTATATCAAGCTGTCCCTTCCAAAGAATTCTCCTTTCTCACTGGCATATTTCAGTTTTCAATAAATAGTGTGCCCTTATATTTGAAATCATTTTCTTTTAGAAACATCACCTTGTATTTTGTTCTTTCTTTAGTCTTTTCCCAGTGTGACTGGAAAGAGAGACTCATATTTCTGTTTTTGTTTGTGTCCTTGGAAATGCCCTACCTGACTCTGTGAATACCTCCTTTTTATAAGTCATCCTAAAGGTTTTGTCTGGTACTTTTATCTCAGTGAAATGGCTAGCAGTAGTATCTGGTGCCTGAGACAGTTCAGGGAAGTAACATGTTCAGTGCAGAGCTTCCTGAATGGTTGTCACATCGTGGTGCACACAGAAAACCCAACGTGTACTGTGGTAAACAAACAAGGAAATTGGCCCCTCTCAGACATTTCTAGAGCCCAGGGAGATGCAGTGATTCAGCCCACCTGTAACTCACACAAGGCACATTGCAGGGTCCTTGCCCACTGTTGGGGAAGCTCTAGTGTAGAAAACATGAAGGCCTTAGAATCAGGCAGACATGGTTTCATATTCTGACACCCCTTACTAACCATGTGGCCTTGGACAAATCGTTTTAACTTCTCTGCAGCTAAGCTTTGTTAGATTAATTAAAGAAAGAGGCCATTAGACTGAAGTGGTTCTAATACCTTAGCAGCCTATGTAAGCAAACCGAAAGCTAAGCCTGTAAATGCCTCAGAGGTTAAGAAATCAAAACCTCAGGACAGCCAATCACAAACAGCCAATTGGGCTTTCAAGTAATGCAAATGCTTAAGCTGTAGCCAATCAAATCATTTCCTTGCTTTGCTTCCACCTTTTCTCTTTAAAAATATTTCTCCTAGCTCCTGTTGATGGAGCACTCCTAATCATTTTCAGTTTGGCGATGCCTGATTCAAATTGATTTTTGCTCAAATAAACTATTAAAAGTTTTAATATGCCTCAGTTTATCTTTTAACAGTTTCTTCATGCGCAAATGAGGATGATATAATTTACCTTCCGAAACTGTTCTAGTAGAGATAACGTTAAGTTGAGTGCCTCCTCCATAGTAAGCATTGACATGGTTACATTGTAACTATTAATTTTGGTCTCTTAGTGTGTTAACTATATATTGCTCTATACTTTTGTTTCTAATGATTTTTTTTTTGGTGACGAAGATTGGCCCTGAGCTAACAACCTTTGCCAATCTAACTCTTTTTGCTTGAGGAAGATTATCCCTGAGCTAACGTGAGCTAACATCAGCTAACATCCATGCCAGTCTTCCTATATTGTGTATGTGGGGCACCACCACAGCATGGCTTGATGAGCAGGGCGTAGGTCCAAGCTTGGGCTCCAAACCCGCAAACCCCAGGCCACTGAAGCGAAGCAGGAGAACTTAACCACCATGCCTCCGGGCTGGCCCCCCTAATGATCTTTTTAAAGTACTGATCAGCTCATTGGCCTCTTGTCACTGATAAAAAAAATTTCTCAGGGCCGGCCCCATGGCTTAGCGGTTAAGTGTGTGCACTCCGCTACTGGCAGCCCGGGTTCCGATCCCAGGCGCGCACCAATG